CACCACATTTCAAAGCGGAATGATTGTTCCAAGACCTCTCATGTTGGTGACTCGAGCCGTACACAGGGATGATGTCCCATCAACGTGCAAAGTTACTTTTCTTTTTTGGTAGATCAATACAATAAAACGATATAATGTTAGATTTTATGCGTAATTTTTTGGTTAACTCGCATGGTGGATTAACTGTGTAGCATGGATAGTTCGGAGTTTGGACTAAACAAATCTAAATATAGATTTTTTTTTTGCGTAATCTGAACAAAGATCTTTAAATAAAACAGGTAACAACAAACAAATATTAAGTCTGATCCGGTTTAGATGCCTAAGTTGTTGTTTCTACCCTTAATTTTGAGGCAATAGAAACAGAAGAGAAGATGCCTAAGTTGTTTGACTGTATAGTTGGGCCCCGACAAAGTCCTCCTTCAAACTTAAACTTGAGTCACAAGAGTTCTCACACGTGTACGCCGCTATTGTTTCCCAATCCAGAGATTTCCTGTCATTCTTACCGCCGAAGAATAGTAGCTGCGACATTACCTAAAAATACTGCAATTCAAATGATCAAGAAACATAGACCATATGGAAGAGCAGCTAAATTGAATGGTAAAAAAATGTGTTTTTGAAAAAGATATAGCCACAGACCAATCGAATAACACAAACAACAACACACTTGAATCAATCACATGAATATCACTTTATTTATATGGGCAATTTAGAACACAAATTGCTTCTAGAAGCCATACAATCCTAACTACCTAGAAAAATACGAACTCACAAGTGATTCGTTCACAAGACTTTACCTAGTCTACCCTTATTTTGTGAGACACACTTAGAGAATTCAATGCCTCACAATTAAGAACGCCTCTCATCACCCATCAATCTAATGAGTTATACCCGAAAACCTCTCTTTTTAATTTTTGCAGAACTAACTCAATGAAACCTTATTTTTCTTCTTTTTATATTACCGTCTTCTCTCTCATACATGTTTCGGACCAGCAGACAGAAGACTGTGTTGTACCAGTGAATCACTGTATTATAAGTCCCATCGTATTTAAGCAAGACGCTCCTCTGCACCAAGTAGCAACTTGCTCTTCACATGGCTCGAGGTGCCACCTGTCACACCAGCTGGCAGAGCAAGTTTGTGTGACACAGACTGCTTCTTTCTCCGTTCTTTGCTCTTGAAATATTATTTTGAACTTCACTGGTTCTACAATCTCCCCCTTTTTCTTTGAGTTTGTTAATCCAAGCACCTTGCACTTAAAATAGACAAGAACACTGTCCGCACGTACTATTAGTGAGCTCATGAGTGCCAGAACAAAGCCATAATGTGAAATCACCTCAGTGAGTTCCACAGCCGTGTTCTTCTGCAAAAAGAGGAGGCAGAGCATAATAAACAACTTAGGAGAAGACCAAATATTTGATGAAAATTTCGAGTCTTAACAGATCTTTTGGGATAGGTTTAGGTCTTATATAATAGATAATAAATGATTGTTTTCCTAGGAAAGGAGATAATTAGAAGAGAGGGATCAGAGCTCCGAGACACGTTCAAATTCAGGATCACACATCTCTTCCTCAACTTGTGTTTCAACACTGAATCTTCATTGTACCCCATTTCATAATCTCCCCCTGCTTGGATGCATACTAAAAGAAAGACACATTTTTTAGAGAAGCATTAGTTAAGTTTTTTGAAGAGAGGAGGAGAAAATAAAAGAGATCCATACCAGAGACTTTAATGCTTAGCCCACGAACAAAGGCTGAGAGATACTGAAAGTCATCCGCCACAGAGGTGTTCAGAAGCGCTTGAGGATACTCACCCGCTTAACAGTGCCTTTTCGGGAGCAAAAATGGCGCAGGCGGAGACGAGAGAAGGTCTCCAACACACGATGGCACATGGCGTTGATATTCCAGAAGTTGTCCGATGAGATTAGGTAATGCTAGACGGGAATCATTGTTTGCTTTAAGACTAAGAA